CAGCCGTCCATGCTAATAGCTTACCACAGATCGCCCATCCATCAGCAAAGTGGGATGGTGGAAGTGACACTCACCAAATGCCCCGTTTTAAACTGTTAGAATAGGGGACCAGCAGATGGCTACATTGGCATAATGGTTACATTGCTGGACTCTGACATGGTGGACCATGGTTTGAGTCCCAAGCCTGGCAACTTGAAACTTATGCCAGGTACGTGCGTGACATGCCCCAAATCCTGAGAGAATGGAGGAGAAGGGATTGTAGCATGGTTATTGCCCTTGGGGGCAGGGGGGGTTGATTTCTCACTTTCTCTCTGTATCTCTCGGTCTCTCCAGCATGTGCTTGTTCCCTATAGCAAAAATGTCTCAAAAATAAATAAATAAATAAATAAAAAGTGAGAATAGCCTTTCAGGAACTAGGGAGGTTACTGAGAAACCCCAAAGGAACCCACAGACAGGTTCATTTCAACCACGGCAAAATTCATGGCCAGAGTAATGCTGGAAGGACATCAGCCCTTAACCATGGGCTGCAAGGGTCGTGATCGGCCTCCGTCACCTGAACGCAGAGCCCACGGCCTACCCACTCTCCTTAGGCACAGTGTGACCAAACAGCATCGACCACAAAGCCAGGTGAGGAAACTCAGGCAGACGTGCGTGGTTCTTCAGGCTGAGTACAGAGGGTGAGGAGACAGGGTGCATTCATATATGGTTTATAACAACATGCCAGGTGCTCTTCGAAGTGCTCAGTGCATAATATCAATAACGCGTTTAACCCACCCAATAATCCCACAGTTCAACTATACTGGTTTTATGCATAGGAAAACAGAAGCACTGGGAGGTTAAGTAACTTCCCCAAGGTCATGCACCCAACAAAAGGGGGAGCTGCAATGGGAACCCAGGCTGTTGGACCCCAGAGTGTGGGAGATGTCAGCTGTATGTAGTCTCCCTGTTCTCCTTTCTCACAATTCATCCCATAGACACGGTAAAATTGTTTCTCAACAAAAGGGAACTCAGAGCAAATGGACATCTAAATGAACAGGAAACTGAAAAGAAAGTTAAGTCCATTTCAAGAGAAAAAAATTAACTTGATCATTTTCAAACTTTGTTTTTTTGGTAGACCTCCCCCTCTCCCCCCCACATCTTCCTTTGACTCCAATAACTACAACAGAGACAGGTAGAGTGGCTTTTTTTTTGAGAGGTACAGGTGCTACCTCCTCTGCCTACGCGTGGCCCTCCATGTGATCCTAGGCAGCTTACAAGACTAAGGGGCTCCCCCCACCGAGAGTCACACTCTACATCAACCACTAATTAGAAAGCTAATTAGTGGGGGTACGGGCTGGCAGGTGGCATGGTTGTTAAGGGTGCTGGACTCTCACACGACAGACTTTGGTTCAAGTCCTGGACCTGGCAGTTTGCTTTCTCACTCCTCCCCACCCAACTCTCACTCTGTCCCTCTCTGATCAAATAAAAATAAATAAATAAAGTTAAATAAAGTAATTCTCTCTAAAATATTAACAATTCTCTCTCTGAAAAAAAAAAAAAGGAAAGAAAAAGAAAACTGGGGATACTGGAACCAATTCACCTGCCCTTATTGTCTGACCTGGTATCAAATGTTCAGAGTTCAAAATAACCAATTTGAACTGTTTGATACATTTTAATTAGGAGCTCTCTAGTCTGATCATTCAACTTCTTGAAATGGTTTTGTTGCTATTTTGTATCTCTATTCATTTGATAGAGTATCAGCCATCTCACTGGGCACAAGAGAATCTGAGATAGGATGAGAAGTGGGCCAGACAGTGGTAAGACATGGCAGGGTTCACAGCGAGAACCCTCCCTGGTATGGTAGCCCTGTGTGCCTGTGATCCGGAGCTAGCTGAGGCAGGGGGTGCCATGTGGCATCACGCCCCTGCTGGAGGCGCTTCTCTCTCATTTGTAGATTACATAGATACTTAAAACATTAATTAAAAAGGATGGAGGTGGATAAAATGAAGGCACCTCTGGAGGTAGAGAGTCTTGAAAAGTGTTTGTGCCTATAGGTTTTGAAGCAAGTGGCTCCATCTTTGGAAACAAGTGACTTAGAGAATGATTCTTTTATTTGTTTTCTTTACTTTTCCTCTTCTGCTTCCTCAAAAGGATAGGGTACTCCAGATATTTCTTCTTCCTCAGTTTGTTTTTTTTTCTAAGCATTATCTACGTGGTCCAAATGTTCTGTGTTAGGAATGGCCTCACCTCCTGGGCCATTTGGGTGTGCTCTGAGTAGTACTCAGAGATCAGATCACCTAAGCTAGGAATTTCTCAAGTATTTCTTCCAAGAACACCTGGACAGAACGTCAGAATTCCTTCAGCGTTTGTTCACCCGCACGCCCTCCCTCACCAGCTGTCTTCTGGCCGGTGCAGCGTCTGTGTCTCGTCCTTCAACCAGCCCTCACCCCGCCATGCTGCTCTAATCATTATTAATCATTAATGATGTTTTAAGTGAATTATTACTAAGGAATCATGATTCATTAGTAAACACTGGATTACTTCATTAGACTTGTTAGATTAGTTAACGCTGGAACAAATCAAGTCAAATTAGGAGAATATAGAGACCATACAAAAGTAAAGGATATGGTAAAAAGTGATGTTTCAAACCAGCAGGGGAAAAAAAACGAACAATTCAATATATTATGCTGGAACCCTTGTCTATATACACTTGGAAAATATAACCCCAAAAGGATTAAAGACAAGTCTAATATTAAAAACATGTTTGTTAACTTGGACTAAGTAAGGCCTTCCTAAATAAGATTTGCTTGGCAGCACACTCGCTATGTGACAGCTTTCTGATGCTTCGTGTTTTGTTTTTAATCAATAGACCGGAGATGACAATAGCAGAATGGTTGTGAAATCTATTCCGATCTGGCAGAGTATAAATCTCATTGATGACATTAAACTTTGTGGTTTTAGTAGTTGTATCCAATTCTGCATGCCCAAGCCCCCTGGGAGTACTGAAATTTTATTTTTCCTGCAGTTATGAACAACATATTTGAGTCTAATATGCCGAAATTCCTCCTATGTTAACTCCTGTATCTCAGCACTTCTAGAAATGACAAGACAATTTTCTCCTTTGACATTTTTGACAAGTTGGAACATAGGGTTATAAATGCCTGAAGAAAAAGAGCGGACTCCTGGATATTTGACTCTTGACCTTTTGAGATCTGTTTCACAAGAAGGAAACCCTTGGCTTAATCTAACTTAGTGGGCCGCTTTCAGGGGGAGCTACACGGTGAGGCAGTAGGAGCCTCTGTCTTTGCCTTTATGTTTTGGTGAATGCTTTACCAGGTGGAAATCAAAGCCTTTCTTTTCCTTCCTTTCTTCCTTCCTTCCTTCCTTCCTTCCTTCCTTCCTTCCTTCCTTTAGTTTTTTTCTCTCTCTCTTTCTTCCTCTTTTTCTTTCTTTCTTAATTGCCTGAAGGTGCATGCAGTAGCCAGAGAGAGAGAGAGAGATGCAGAAAGACAAGGAGAGGGGGAAAGCACCCTCCAGTTTGGTGTGGTCAACCTGCCACTCTCTTCTCCATTGTCCACCCTGTCATGATTTGGGGCACGTATGCACACACGTCTAGCCACCAGGACTGGGACTCAGATTACAGTTGGCCATATGGGATTCGGCTCCATTATCAGCAGGCCATGGAGCTGGCCTGAAAGAAAAACATTTTAAGGCCCTTATCCTCCCTTTGACGTGGGAATGTAAAAAGACACAGGGTGCTTCACTGGCAGGACTGTTCTATTAGTGGCTTGCCCGTTTCTTCGGCTCAAGTGACCAATTCCACAACAAAGTAACTGTAGGGCTAGGACTAGTCTCAATTCAAAGACAGACTCCAGCCCAAGAAAATTCCTAAGGTAATCGCCTTGAGGAGCTGGAAAGTCCGAAGTTGACATCCCTCAGGCAGAGCTGGCTGGCCCTCACTGGGAAGGGCTGGCCCTGCCCCCAGGTAGGAAAGACGGTCTCCTTCCCAGGACGGGGGCAGAAAGTGCTGAGATGGCAGAAGCAGCGCTGCCCAGCGCCATGGCAGAAGACGTATTCTGGGTCAGCATGCCCCACAGAGGGTGCCTGCGCTGCCTTCTCCCAGAGGTCACCGTTCAGACGTAGGCCTTGCGACACCACAGCGAGCTTGCTTGGTCATGGAGCAGGCTGCTTGAGCGCTGCTTGGTGGAAGACACACTGCCAGCCATTCCTCTTTTCCCTCCAGGTTTTTCTACTGTGATGTTCATTATGTAACAATCCATTTGGGGTTTATTTGTTCGTTCTGTGAGGTTTCATTGGGACAGAATAATGGACCGCACTGAAATACTGTGAAAGCAAATGACTATATAGTCTAATAGATTTTAATAAAAACTCATCAAAATATGGTCCTGGGTCTCCTATTCCTGGACCTGCAGACCTTCCTTGAGGCTTTCTCGTTCATGTCAGAAGGGCTCAGTGCAGTACTTCTGAATCCATGGCCTGTCGGAATTGCCCTTGACCAGATGAGGGGCTGGGTCTCTAATGGTCGGGCGTAGAGGAGTCCTCCAGTCTCTCGGGCAACCAGAATCTGATTGTTGTCCCCTGCAAGCCTGTAACTACTGGTGACAGGGCTGACAAATGCTTGGCTCTCTCCCAGGGCCCTCTCTTCCTCCATCCCAGTGAAGCCCAGGACCAGGGTGGTCTTCTCCAATTCTGTGTCCGAGGATAGGTCCAGGCACCTTCCACAGCACGTGTTTCACAGTTAGGACTGCTCATCCTCTCCCCACCCGTCCACCCACTCTCCTACTCCGCCTTCCCGGCCAGCCGGAGAAGGCTTTGTCTCAAGCACAGGAGCAGGAGCGTGGCTCTGGGTAACAAGGGGCAACCAGAGGTCTGTACCAGGTATTTGTCCTATATTTTCAAGGCACAGTGTAGCCACTAACTGGGTAGTTGGGCCAATGTGTTGAACTGTTTCCCAGCGCAGTAATGTATCATTTTCCTTTTTTTTCCTCCTCTTTTTATAGAATGACCAGTCCATGGGCGAGATGCAGATAATTGGGGGCGATGATCTTTCGACACTGGCTGGAAAGGTTTGTTCATGTAATCCCACTCAGTTCCCATTGATATCTGGGGCATCAGGGACCTTCATTTCAGGTCAGCACTTGCAATACACTGCGGACGTTCTCCTGGGTTTGCTAATTCATGCAAAGGACGGTGTGAATCCTCTGAATGAGTTCTCCTTTCGAACACCCTCCCTTTAGAACTTTTCCGGACATGATGCAGACCAAATCTTTCTTCCCCAAGCTTCCTTCCAGTCTTATTTCAGACAACAAAATCCCCTTGGCCCTCCTAGTTCAGTTCCTTTTCCACTGATCCTTTCAGGCATTTTCTGAAAAGGAAACTTTTTTCCCTTATTTGCTTGCTTTTTAATTGCTCCTCTGTGCCTCGGCACCTAGGCACTTCAGGAACACCTTGAAACACATTCTGAAGAGGGAAGAAAAAAGAACTAGAGAGCACATTTTTCAATTCTTTGCCTTTTTTTTTTTTCCTATGAAAAAGAATATAACCAACTAGATTATGTGAAAAACACCTCCAATTGGAACTTAGCGTTCCAAGCCTACAATCCTTAGTAATGAGGTGAAAAGACTGTGTAGATTCTGACATAACGACATAAATTGGAAGGAAGCGTTGTTTCCGAAAGCAGATGATGGTTGTGGAATGTGACCTGAAATGCAAGTTTACTGTGAATGAAAGCAACGCAGTATTTGCTTTGGTTCCTCTGTCCTAACCTAGCTTGTATTCATTATCCCTGAACAGCTTCAGCTTTCTAAGTAAATGGCTCTAGTCGTATTACACAAGCTTAATCTCTCATATTTGTGGTTGTTCTTGTTATGCAATGCCCGGATGGGGAAAGGAATAGCAGCCACATTTAGTAAAAATACATCTAATAACACCAGGAACGCTGAGCTGCAGGGACGCTGGCTCCAGAGCAGCGGACCTCCCTCTGCTCTGTAGACAGCGGCTCTGTAGACAGGGTAGGATCCTTGCATGCAGGTGCTACTTCGTAGTAAGCAATGTTCCAGAGATGATGGAATTAATTTGAGGTTACTCCACCATTCAACCACAGTTTGATGTTACCACTTTACCATATAAAGTAACATCCTAAAAATTTTAAATACTAACAAGAAATGGAAAATCACTTGTTGACGATAACATGTATGATTAAGCCGCTTTACAGTGTATTCTGGCTGGAAAATTGCATTTTGTATGCGGTGGTGATGTCTAGTGAAAGTATGTAAAATAAATTAATTAATTTTAAAAATTAAATGAAAAAAAAATGTAACACTCAGATTCCAGAAATTCATACCTTTTAACAAAAGGAACGGCCTTTAGGCAGTAAGTCACCTCATCACTTCACTGTATGACAGTGCCTTCAGGTTTCTCACACAGGAGAAATAACTTTCCTATGCTTTAGCTATGGGGTTCCTCCTCAGGACAGGACCAAGATTTCCCAAATGAACGCCAAGAAAAAATTGACTCATAGAATCACGCTCCTTCTTTCCTTTGTAATCAAATCATCTTCTACTTCGATTTAAAGAGACAGTCCTCTTCCATGAGCCCTGGGTATTCCCTTACTTTAAGGGCCGGAGAGGAAGTGGAGGAAAGAGTAGCTTCTTCTAAGGGTGGAATTAGAAGAAGGGGTGCAGCTGTGCGCCTCAGGATAATGCTTTTAAACAGCCCCCTGAGAAAGCAGAGATTGTGGAAGTTCAGATAGGAGAGCCAGGAAACAGGCAGCAGGTCGTACAAGGGGAGTCTGCTTTGACCTTCCGCTACTGTGACAAATGGTTTCCTCCAGCTTCCCCATGCCGGTTCGTGGTACGCGTGCCCTCTGTGCACACAGATGCGTTTCCGTATACGTTTAAACCTGTGCCAGGTAGAACCCCCGGACTTAGATCGCACTGAGTAAATATTTCTAAGATGAACCAACACTGGTTAGCCAGGTTCTCTACTCTCACACCAACTTAAGTTTAAAGATTCTGCAGTTCGGGACCAGCAGATGGTGAAGCAGTTACATCGCAGGACTCTCACATAGTTGACCGCGGTCGAGTCCTGGACCCGGCGGCTTAAAACTCAGTGGGCACATGTGCACGCATGCCCAAAATCCTGAGAGGAGAACAGAGGAGAAGGGATTGCGGCATGGCCATCCCCTTGGGGGGGGGGGAGTGATTTCTCACTTCCTGTCTGTCTCTGTTTCTTCAGTGAGCGCGTATGCCCTATAGCAAAATAATCTATTTTTAAAAAAAAGAAAAAGAAAAAGAAAGGAAGGAAGGAAGAAAAAGATTCTGCAGTTCCAGGTGCCTCAGCTCACATTGAAAAGGAATACTAGGTGACCACAGAACATGCTCTCAAATATATCTCCAATCTATCCACTTACCTCCAGATACCCAGCTGTCCCCCAAGTCTTCGCCCTTGCTACTCAAAGTAAAGCCTAGGTCAGGGTTTAGCAAACATGTTCTATAAAGGGTTACAGGATAAATATTATAGACTTTGTGGACCATACAATTGCTGTTGCAATTACTCAACTTTGACATTATGGCATAGAAGGAGCTGTAGATCATATGGACACAAGTGAACATTGATATGTTCCAATAAAACTTTATTTACAAAAATGGACAGGAGGTCAAATTTGGCCCATGGTCCATGGCTTGCTGACCACCCGGCAGCTCACAGGACCTGTAGAACCCATCCCACCCCTGATCTCCTGGTCCCTGCGCACGTTAAGGTGGGAGAAGCACTGGTCTTCCGAGTTAGGGCCAGCACTGCCCCTTTTGTGGGCGGCTATGATAGTCTCACTAGTCTCCCTGAACTCCCACCTGCAGCTTTGTACCCTACAAACCATAGTCCACGAAGCAGCCAGAGGATCTTAGACTCTCAGATCACATCACTCTGCAGCTGAAAGCCTTTCAGGACCCATTTACTTAGACTTGTCAGATTCAGCGAAAACAGACCAGAACAGAACGAAAAAGGCGTTCAGTTAAATTTGAATTTCAAATAAACAGTGAGTACCTTTTTAGTCTAAGGATGCTGCACCCATATTGACTACGTCTCATGCAATATTTGGGATATACTAAAAAATTGTTATCTGAAATTCACGTTCATCTGGGCGCTCTGTATTTTTACCTGGCAACCCTGCTCTCTGGGACTGTGATCCAAATGCCTTTCCACAGCCAGTAAGACCTGCCCGATCTGCCCCTGCCTCCTCCGTCACCCCCGACTTCGTCATCACCCCGACACTTTCCTTGCAGCACTATAACCTCCCTGGCCTAGGTCGCTCCTGCCAAGACCTTGGACAAGCCATGACCTGTCTCTCTCCTGTCCTTCAGGTCTCAGCCTGAACATCCCCGCCATAAGGGAGGCTGTCCCTGACTGTCTGTAATGACTGCTCTAGCTCCTACCCATCCCTGTTTCCGCCGGGGCCCTTTTCACGATTCACTGTGTTTACCTTCGGCTTAGTTTCTCCTGCCTGTCTCCCCACTAGCAGGGCAGTTTGAGGTGGGCAAGAGCCACGCGCAGTGCCTGGTCCATCACGGCCAAATGCATCATTGTGACGGAGTGAGTTCTTGGGCTTCTGAGCTAGAAATTGGAAAGAAGCTTTCATTAGTTTTGGCAAAGAGGACATCGCAAAGAGAAAGGGTAAATCTAAGTCCACCTGGTCACATCAAGCAGCCAATTTCATTTTTTCTTTCTTTTTTTTTTTACATGTTTGCCAGAAGGCATGAGTGTACTCATCAAAGAGAGAGAGGGACAGAGGGAAAGCAAGAAAGGACCCCCCACCCCCACATGGAGCATGGTCACTCAGCAATCCCTTCTCCTCTATCTCTTCCCTTCTCTCAGGATTTTAGACACACACAAACACACACACACATAAACACACACACATACAAGCCCAACATGTTTCTCAAGCTGCCAGGTCTCGGACTCAACTGGGCAGTCGTCCACGTGGATCCAGCTGCCTTAACCAGCAGGCCATGGGCTGGCCTGCCAATTAAGGGTCTGTGGAGGAACAGGGGGAGGGAAGAAGGAGGACTTCAGGATCACCAGAGATTCAGGGGGGCCTGAGGAAGTGATCACTACACAGCTGAGGATGGAGGAGTAAAACAATTTTCACCCAATTTGGGAATTTCCTTTTCCATAAACAGATAAAAGCACTCATATGGCCTTCCCTGTTTACCCATTCTTCAGCCTTTTGAGAAAGGCTATCCATTAAGAGTTTGAGAGAACTTCAAAAATACATTTCAGAGACCTTCCAGAATCTTTGGGGATATACACTAGCTGGAAAGAATGTAAAAAGAAATGGCACCAAACGATTAGTGGGTATTTGTTTCTTTTTCTTTTTTTTTGAGAGGTTTTTGCTATACCGCATGTGCGCTCACCAGAGAGAGAGAGAGAGACAGAGAGACAGAAAGCAAGAAATCACCCCCCAGGGGGGATGGCCACGCCACAATCACTTCTCCTCCTTTCTCCTCTTGGGATCTTGGGCACGCACGCACATGCGCCCGGTGTGAGTTTAAGCCACCAGGTCCAGGATTTGAACCGCAGTTGACTATATGGGAGTCCAGCGACATAGCCATTACGCTAACTGCTGGTCCCTGGGTATTTGTTTCGATGGTTGTAGCAGAAAGTCTGAAACCACAATAAATGCCTACCTTGGCTGGAAGGATTGTTGCAGACCATCCTCTCATTTCTCCCTTCTCATAGAGTCAACACACAACTTGTCCGTCAGTCAACGATTTACTTTTGAGTTACGTTTAGCATTATGATGTTACTCTGCCAGGAACTTGTCCACACTTGCTCTTCTTCAATGCTCAGCACCCAGGGAAGAACTCCAGGGGACTTACCCTCTGGGACGCTTTTCTTGAGCTTGAAGAAACCCAAAGAAAGTAGGATTGCTTGACACTGAATCATTCTAGAGAGAGGGTAAGCTTTGATTTGGTACCCAAAAAATGTGGAAATAACACAGAAGAGAGAGGAAGCACAGTGTGGGGCGGAGGGTGACATGAGGAAGTAGGACAGCTAGACAGGAGTAGGC